TGGGTGGGGCCCGTTATGCGAGTTTGGGCGGGGCATGTTTCAAAAATAACATTTTTAATGCTAGTTTTTATACCAGTAATAAAAAATCAGATATTTAATAGATAATCGAACGTTTAACGTATAAGTCTAACTAATTTTTATTTGAACATGTTTCAAAAATAACATTTAAGGATCTAAATTATAATTTATTAACCAAAATAGATTATCATCTATCTAAAAAAGGTTGTAACATATTATTAGTAGTAAATGAATTTATAAATTCAAATTCCCACAAATTAATAGACAATCTTTTCCATTTATTATCATATTTATTATATTTAATATTTTTTTATATATAAATATTAGTAATATGTGGCAAATTAATTTATGAAAATTGAAAAAAAAAACCATAAATTAACATATAGATATTATTTGTTTAGAAAATACCATAAAATGATATGCTTCAAAACTATATGTGGAAAAAAAAAGTCTTTATTTATTAGAGTTGATTGTTATTTTGAAAAAAATGCTCTAAATTTGATTTTTTTTTTCTAGACCTTAGATTACTAGTTGACTTAACAGGAAAGAGGAAAGACATAACAAGGAGAGGAAGATGTGGAGGAGATAGGTACAGTGTAATGTTGATAATTCAATATTAATTTAAACTACAAATAAGTAAAAAAATAAGTTATTAAATATATTAAATATAATAATAAAAAAGTAGCTTATATGGGTTTGAGACAAACTACGCAAAAATTAAAACTATCAAAAATGTTTGAAAACGCACATGTGATTTTTTGTAAAACATATAGACCATGTAGATAATTTAATATAACAATAATGTTAATAACTTACATGCACTTATTTGGAAAAATTCTCTTGTAATACTATTTGCATCATTTCTCGTATAATTAAACAAAATATTAATCATATCCTTAAATATTCATTCTTCTATAATAATAAAATCAGTTAAAACATATTTGATACAAATGAGTAAACTGGTCGTGAAAATATCTATCCAAGTATCCATACATAATTCTCAAACAAGTTAGCCGTGACTAGAAAAATCAATTTATAAACATTGAAGACAATTCTAAAACGTTTAAAGACTAATAATAACTAAGTCAATATCACAATAATCGTAGAATAGTTATAAACACATTTAATTATTAACTAGAAAAAGATCATGGTCTTCGCCTCGGGTTAGATAAATTGTGAAGCACGTAGACATTTTCTGTAAACTATGGAGACAATTTTTTTTAATTAGTTTTGTACATAGGGGTCAAACCTGCCAAAATACAAAAACGGTATACATATGGTATGTTTTTGAAAAAAAAAATCACATGAACCTTTTCTATAAATTAAAAAATTGCAGGGAGTAAATCTACCAAATTTTACAACTTTGTTGTAGGGACTAAATCTATAATAATGTGTAACCTTTGTTGCAGGGACTAAATATGTCAAAAGGTTATTGTAGTGACTAAATCTGTTAAAATGGAAACCTTTGTTGTAGGGACCAAAATTGCCAACGTTTAAAACTTATGTGACCAAAGTTGTGTAGGGACTGAATATGCCAAAAGGTTGTTGTAGGGACTAAATCTATTAAAATGGAAAACCTTTGTTGTAGGGACCAAAATTGCCAACCTTTAAAACTTACGTGTCTATAGTTGTGTAGGGACTAAATCTGTTAAAAAAGAAACCTGTTGTAGGGACCAAAATTGCCAATCTTTAAAACTTGTGTGGCCAAAGTTAAGATTTACAAAGGTTACTATTGTTAAACTCAACGAACTTTAATATATCTATATGGACAAAACTGCACGAATGGTCCCTGTAGTTAGCTGAAAATTGTCACTTTGGTCCAAAAATGTTTGTACTAGCACCAGAGGTCCAAACTTTTTATTTTGTTGCGAGTTTGGTCTGATTTTGTTTGAACTTTTTTATAAAGACGATTTTGCCCCTGATTATTTAATATTTTAATTTTCTTTTTTTACAACAATTAAAAAGAATTAAAAATAAAAGAAAAAAGAAAATACTCTCTCTCTCTCTCTCTCCCATAAACCAATACAATCAACACATATCCTTGTTCTTCCATTCTGCATTCGTTCCCAGCCAAGAACACAAGAGAAATACAACCACTCTTTGTTATTGTTTCATCTTCTTTACATATCCTTGTTCTTCCCTTCTGCATTCGTTCCCAACAAATGAGAAATACAACCACTCTTTCTTATTGTTTCATCTTCTTTCCATGGCAATTTCAAGCAACCAAAACACAAACCTAAACCTAGTGATTTACACCCCATCAATTCTGTCAAGCAAAACAAACATACAGCCATCGATTTCCTGTAAAAGATTAACCTCACTCATCCATTCCATTTATCCATTTCAGTCAAGAATCAATCAACAAACACTCATCTTAACCTAAATCTATTGACTAAACCCCATGGATTTACAGTCGAAGTAAAAAAGAAGAGTGATGAAAGGAAACCTGTGATTGTCGAGGAAACAACAACGCCGAACACCCCCCTCCCCTATCGCACTTGCCCTTCTTCCCGTCGAGCTCCACTACCAAACACACCACCTGCGCTGATGCTGCTGCTCTCCTACCCATCCCGTTCCCTCACCTGTTTCATGGTCTTCGGCCCCATCGATCTCCGGAAACAAAGCTTTCGCAGGAAATCGACCCTCACTACTGCCCTACCCATCCCGTTCCCTCATCTGTTTCATGGTCGACGACCACGTTATACCCACCGACGATCTCCCTCGTCACTATTAATCGACCCAGGAGCATCGGGATTAGCCGCCTGCGAGCCTTCTTCCCTTCCCCTCACGAATCGCCATCCACCGTCGAACCACACCCCTCAATCGAAATGTTACTTAAGATTTCTTACAATTCTTCATTTTCTCCGGTCCCGTCATGCGCCGGAGGCGCTTCATCTTCTTCACGATCGGTCATCAATCGGAGGCTAATGTTTTATTTCATTCACAATCGGTCATCACGATCGCTTCATCTTCTTCACCACCGCCATTGAGGAAAACTTGATTCTCATATCTGCAACGAATGGAACTTCGGTTCCTGGAGCAGTAAGCTTGAAGATCGAATGATCGATCGTTCTTTCCTACTTTTCTTGGGTTTCTTAAATTTGGGGTTGGGGGTATTAGGAGCTCACAGGGACATTAACGTGTTTGTACAGATCTATGGTGCTTTCCTACGAGAGAGAGAGAGAGAGAGAGAGAGAGTATTTTCTTTTTTCTTTTATTTTTAATACTTTTTAATTGTTGTAATAAAAGAAAAATAAAATAATAAATAATCATGGGCAAAATCGTCTTTATAAAAAAGTTCAAATAAAATCGGACCAAACTTGCAACAAAATGAAAATGTTGGACCTCTGGTGCTAGTCCAAATATTTTTGGACCAAAGTGGCAAATTTCAGCTAACCACAAAACCATTCGTGCAGTTTTGTCATCTATATATCTATATAACTATATAATATGTCACCTTGCATAGGATTAGCCGACGTGACTCGTGGGTAAGTAAAACATGGCTATATAGGCCCAGTAATGAAACAGCCCAACGGCAATCAACGTGAGGTCTAACGCTCTAAGGCCTAAGCGAGGACAAGTGGCGAAGTGGTGATGATAAGAGTTATTTGTTCTGTAATTTAATTATTTATGTAAAACTAATAATAATATAAGAAGATAATAAAATAAAATTAAAGATAAAACGATGAGTATATTAATTATATTACATGGTTTTTATGGAGGTTTTTTTAATATAGTTAGACGAAAGGATTCAAGGGTTCAAGTCCCGTGGTGGACATAGGTGGAATTAGGTGTTAATTTAGGAGTAGATTATAATATTTGTATTTGCCGGTTAAAAAAAAAAAAAAGTTAGACGAAAGGATCATCAGTGTTGTTTGCCAATTTCTTTTGAAACTTTAATTGTAAGTGTGAATTCGAGCATGCAATGCCTAAGGGACCGTTCTAAACAAAATGCTTAAGATGATTAGAGAAAACAGTAAATTTGGTCTTGTTGTTTGTGAATTTCTTTGGTTATTGTCTATTTGGTTTAATAATTACAAATTTTATCTTTTTCAATAGATTTCCTTGTGGTTTAGTCCCTCCCAAAAAATAAAATGACTAACTTGTCTGATATTATTTTATACTTTTTTCTATTTAATTTGATTTTGTATCAAATAAAAAATGATAGGACTCAAGAAACTGTAGAAAATGGTCGCACAATTGACTCACCTAGTTGTTATGATTGTTGCTTCTTTCTTCCTCAAAACAATATAAAAACACCATTGCTACACCTAGAAACGAGCACCCCTCAAGATGACGATTACCAATGTTTGATCTTTTGGTAACCGAAGTTCTTAATGCCTCCACATATGACATAACCTATTGTTTCCATCAATGACGATTGTATTTGAATTCTTGGTTGTGGCAAGACTTTCAGATCATCGATTTATTTTTCTTTGAACAACAAATCATCGATTTCTTATGATTTGATAATGCGTGGTTGTAATGGAAACAATGAACTTTGCTCGTTCTTTCCAACAATTTGCATTTTGATTTTCATCCTCCAATTCATTATTATTGTCCTCAAAATCTACAGAAACCTATGCTAACCAATGTTACAAAACAAGTTCATGCCATTTTTTTTCTAGATAGACGAAGGATTGAGTTGGACTATTGTCCTAGATTGATGGATTTCTTTATAATCGTATGAGAGAGAGAGAGAGAGAGAGAGAGAGAGAGATATATATTTTTAGTTTTTAGTAAAAAGAAAAAATAAATAAGAACAAGTTAATCATTTCAATTTAGAGATAGACCAAAACCATAAAGAAATTGATTAAAATGATGAAATTTGAAAATTCAAAAACACAAGGACTGGAAGCAAAATAATTGGCAAAGCATGGGGACCAAATTTACAGTTTTCTCAAATGATTAAATACGTCCATTTTGAATCCCGTAAAACCCCTACAAAATCCCGCCTCCCTCTCATCATTTTTAAAAAACAACATTCCGTTTTTTCTCTCCACAGGAGCGTTAATAACACCGATCCCCTTCATCGTCGTTCTCTAGAAACTTCAGTGTCAATTCAGAGTCATCAGCAATGGCGACAAACATCGGAATGATGGACGCTGCTTATTTCGTAGGCCGATCGGAGATCTTATCGTGGATCAACTCAACTCTCCGACTCAATCTCTCCAAAGTCGAGGAGGTACGTTTTCTTCAATGTTTAAACCCTAAATTGCATGTGTTTTTCAATTGTTGATTGTTCTGACGACGTAACGATCGAAATTGGATTTACTTGGATTAATTATGACTATAACAGTTACTGTTTGTATACAATTCGATTTTAGTGAACGATTTTAATGGATCTGATTCGATATAGGCATGTTCGGGTGCTGTTCATTGTCAGCTAATGGATGTCGCGCATCCTGGTACTGTTCCGATGCACAAAGTCAATTTCGATGCCAAAACTGAATACGACATGATTCAGAATTACAAGGTTCTTCAAGATGTTTTCAACAAACTCAAGATCACCAAGGTTATCTCAATATCTCCTACTTTAGTTATTGCATTCTGATTACAATCGGAGTTGTTACTTGACACTTTATAGTTTTTTTGCTCATTCAATTCGAATACGATCAGATTTCAATTTGTAGTCGATTGTACTTGCTAAATTTCAAAAACAGTACTCGATTATTTTGCCACAACAATCAATTTTAAGTGATTTTGATATTTTTCAACTGTTATTATCATATTGATGAACTTTAGCAAGTATAATCGCTGATTTTGAAAGAGAATACACATCCGATTGTTAGAATTACCCATTCATCTAATCTGATATGTGTAATACTATAATTTCAGCACATCGAAGTGAGCAAACTGGTGAAAGGAAGACCACTGGATAACCTCGAATTCATGCAATGGATGAAACGATACTGCGATTCAGTCAGCGGAGGCGCTAATCAAAAGTAAACCGATCTCCTCTCTCTTCTCTCTCCTTTCCATATCAATTTTTTCAACTTTTACACAAATCTCCTGTATTCAATTCATGACTTCACCTTTTTCTATATGATCTTCATCTACATTTACGTTTCAGTTACAATCCTGAAGAGAGAAGAGAAGCTTGCAAAGGCGGGAAAGACGTCAGCAAAAAACCTACTCGGAGTTCCACTTCCACCGGTGCACCACCTAAATCTCATAACTCTCGAAGAGTTGACACACCGACTCCCAACTCAACACTCCTTCCTCCTGTCAAGAACACAACCATCGACACATCCGCATACGAGAAACAGGTACACAAATCTTCAACACAAATCCCCAAAATGAAAAACAAACCCTAACTTCATCATCATCATCATCATCAATTCGTCATTACACAGATCACTGAACTGAAACTAACAATGGATAGCCTCGAGAAAGAGAGAGATTTCTACTTCGGGAAGCTCAGAGACATTGAAATCCTCTGCCGGATTTCGACCATGTCAAATATACCAGTGATTCTTCTTCTTCTTCTTCTACTTCTTCTTCTCCAGACTTATTTTATTTTTGAATTTTCAGAAGCAGATAATTTAGATTTGTTTTCTCACAGGGTATTGAAGCTATAAAGAGGATACTATATGCTGCTGAAGATGATGCTTCGATAGTTGAAGAAGCTCAAGCTATGCTTCTGAATAATGAAAATAAAGAACAAGAAGAAGAAGAGTCGAAGTCTGATTCACAGAAGAGGAAATCGATTGTGAACGCTGAAGTTGATGCGGCGGCGAACACGGCGTTGTCTCCCAGGCTAAAGGTTTCCGACGGTTCCGATGTGCATTCTAGTGGATCACCTCTCTTGATCTCCTGGTGAAGAGGTATATTTGAGTATTGTCAAATTTGGACGTAAAGAATTGGTATTTGCAAGTTTAGTCCTTTGGGTTTTTGATGGGGATATATATACATAATACGTATGGTACAAAAGATGTTTTTTTTCGTAAACATTTGAAATTTTATTTTTTGGTGAACGTTTCAAGTTCATCTATTCTAAATGTTACGTGTTCTTTCACCATTTTATGTGTTTTTTTGTTGTTGTTCTGGGTTTATTTTAGACTTTAGAGGTACACAAATATAAAAATGCTTTGCATAATTAGGTTTTTTATAACCACTTATAAACCTGGTCCAAATCGAACAAGCACTTTACGATGTAAGCGGCTATTAAACGGCTAAATACAAGAAAAATAGTTGATTAAGTTTATTCAATTATACACTTGTATTTATATTTGTTTTGTTATTAAGGTGTTGTAATTTGATAATATGTCAAATTAGTTGAAAAGTTAGTTTGTGCATGACATTATACTTTGAAAAAAAAAAGAACCCTATAAAATTATAATAGTCAGAATTGTTTAAAATTCGATAATGATACTATAATTAAATAGAATTTTCAAAGTGAAGTATTTGTAATAGAAAAAATTAAAAGTGACATTCGATAATGAGATTTACATTGTTAGTATCCATGGATTGCTGGAATTAGCATGGTGAGAAGAACGTCCAAATGTTTGTGGTTTCGGTTTCTCGAATGGTTGGTGTTTATGGTTTCATTTTGTTTCAAAATTGATTTGAAATTACTCTTTTACCCTTAATTTGATTTTTTATTAAGTTATATTTCTTTTTTTCTGATTTTAAAATAATCTAATCAATCTCATCTTAACCATAAAGCCCACCACCTTCTTCTTCTTTCTCTCTAAAGAATTAACCATTGTCGCCATCACCACTTTTAGCTCCACCATCATCTTCAGTCATTGCCTTCATGGATGATTCTCTGAGTTTTCTCCAAGTGAAAGAGAAAGCGGGGGGAGAAGAGAGATTTGAGATAAGAATGAGGTTAAGGAAGACGTTTTGATAATTGTCCTTACCATGTTAGTTCGGACAAATCGTAAGGACCAATCATGTAATTTTGTCTAGTATTTATTATACAAACAAATAAATAAAAATTAAAAACACATTACTATTCTTGCATCTAACAATTTATAGCAAATGTCAAACAAATTAAGATTACCTAAAAGTATATTATTAAAAAATATTGGATCTTAATGCATCACGATCACGCCAAATGAATTAGACTATGTTTGGCGTACTAGCTGAAAAGCTAGCTGTCAAATAAAAAGCTAGCTGATAGCTGAAAAACTAGTTGATAAAAAATAACGTTTGGTAAAACTAGCTGAAATATATAAAATTACATAAAAGGACATGTAAGAATATGTGTTTCTATAATTAATTAAGGGGTGTATTCGGAAAATTTTAAAAAAACTCTTAAAAAGCTAGTCTAAGTAGTTTTTCAAAAAGCTAGCTTATAAGCTACTTTTTGACTTACCAAACACGACAACATAAAAAACTCGAAAAATAAGCTAGCTGTGGCGCGCCAAACATAGCCTTAGTAAATAGTACTCACCCCCATACACTTTAAGACCAATTTGATCACACAAACCTATAACTAACCAATTACAAAAGGTTTCTATCTACGAATTACTTAGATTTTTTTGAAGGTTATGAAAATTTAAATCCCGAAAATAAGATCCAGGAAAATTAAATGTGGTTTAACTTTTCTCCAAATTTTCAAAAATTATTTATATTTTTAGTTAATTAATTTTGGGATTTGGATTATCAGAAACAAAATGAAAGAGTAGCACAAACAAATAGAAATGATCAAAGCGTGGCAGTAGAGAGGTTCAACACCAACTTCATAAGGAGGGTATTTCAAAAAATTAGCAAAATTCATCCATACCCAATTCCTTTTTTCAAGATTGTCATTTAGTGTCTTTTATTTGTATATAATTGGTTTATCTTGTTTAGTTTAGGATCAAATATAGGTATATTTATGCAATGAATATATTTTCAATGCTTCTTTATTTATATTACTATTAGTTTGAAATTTCAGAATTAGAGTTCATGTCAAGTTTCATCGTTCATGGTTTGTTTGGAAGAAACCGATTACTTTTTTATTAACAAAAGTCCAAAATAAGAATATTAAAAGACAACAGAATAATAGTTTTATGGGCTTCACATATCTTTTGTGTATGATTTCAAAAATAACCCTGGTAGTGAGTTTTGTCGATAATAAAAGTAATAGTTTATTTTTTGTTAATTATATTGAACAAAGAGGGAGATAATATGAATCTTATACGTATCATATGAGGGAAAAAAAAAAGGATAATTATAGCCATAGGCATCATCTATAAATAAACGAAAAGTGATATAAAATTGGATAATAGACTATGAAGAACTAAGACCATGGAATTGGAATTGTTTTTTTCCTTTGAAAAATGAAACTCAAAGTCTAAAAAACAATTGAAACAAAATTTATTCCATTTCCTTTTTGTTCACTCTTTCACCACATCTAATTCCCATTGGAATCATATTCTTACTTCTTTATTCTCTTGATAAGACCTTTAACCCTTTTACTCTCACATCACATTGATCGATTAAATATCAAGCATTCTAAACATACTTTAATCATTTGATTCGAAGAAAACCTAGTTATATATCTTACATTTGATCAAGATCTCTTAAAGTAAATGACAGCAAAAACTTGAACTTCCTTCGGGGTTATTACTCTTTTATATCTATTAGTTTCTTGGCTATACCCATTCAAAATGGGCATGGCGATATCACGATATATAAGGATGTTGTTTGCAAAGAAGGAAATGAGGATTCTTATGGTAGGACTCGATGCTGCAGGGAAAACCACCATTCTTTACAAACTTAAACTCGGAGAGATTGTTACTACCATTCCAACTATTGGTAGATCTACTTCATATGCTTTTAACTTAGTGTTATTTACTTGAACAAGAGCGTATGTTTATCTAGTGAAATGGAAATAGGTTTCAATGTGGAAACCGTGGAGTACAAGGATGTTAGCTTTACGGTATGGGATGTAGGTGGACAAGACAAGGTACTCAAAGCAGCAAATGTGTTTTAAATTATCAATACATAAATTAAGGTTGTGTTTGGCTCCCTAGCTGAAAAACTAGTTTTTAGCTTAACAATAAGCATGTCAAGTAGCTTATAAAAAAACAGTTTATAAACTACAATAAGCTATTAAGTGCAACAAATAATTATCTATCATTTTTTACAAGGCTTTTTGGAGCCAAAATGATAGTAAGGTCTTCTATGTTTTGTCAAATTCCATAAAAACAACTATAGTTTTGTTTTTTGTTTAACAAAAAAAAAATCTAGTTTAACCGTAAGAGTTTTTTTTTCAACGATAAGGTTGTCTTTATAGTGAATTACAAAAAATCAGTAGAAATTTTTTTTCTTGTTATAGTTGTTTTTCTTTTAAATAAAAGTTTTCAAAGTTAAATCATAAAAATAAAAAATAAAAACAAGTGGTTATAGAGGACAAATTCCAAACTATACTAATTTTTATAGAATTCAAAGTCTTAGTAGTTTACAAGAACAATTAAGTTGGTGGTTTCCAAACTACAATATCTAATGGAATTTGGGCTTATTTTTCTACATATTTGCAAAATTAACGTTAAGTCCACGGATTTTAAATGGAGAGAGGTGACCATTATAGAAGAATTCACTAACTAGTTGAATTCCTATATCTAGTCCATACTCTTAAAAATAGTACTATAGTGATTATCTTTTATATCATATAAAGATCCGACCCTTGTGGAGGCACTACTTTCAAAACACGCAAGGGCTTATATTTGTGGTCGATAGCAATGATCGAGATCGAGTTACAGAAGCTAGAGATGAGCTTCACCGCATGCTCAATGAGGTACTATATAATTATGTTGTGTTTGTTACATTTGATTCGACAGTAAATAACTATATTGTACAATCTTTCTGGCATTATTTTCGATGACAAAGATGAGGACGACAAGCATCTCCTTTGTACAAAATGAGCACTCAACAACGAGCTCTTTCTTTTTAACCTTTTTGGGTGAGATAAAAATTATAAATTTTGTCTCATGACATCAATCTGAGTTGGTCATCCAATACATGTCAAACACAGTTAAAAAAAATGTTTAGTCATAACCTGTCAAAGCCTATCGTGAAGGCTTTATCAACAATTATTTTTTTCATATTTAAAACATTTTTTTTGGAAAGGATGCTCTTCGTGAAGCTACAATACTTGTGTTTGCCAATAAACAAGATCTTCCGAATGCTATGAGGGTTTCTGAACTTACTGAAAAACTTGGTCTTCATTCACTACGCCATCGTCGTTGGTAAATTACAATTTTGTCCCTCTCTTCATCTTTATTTCAAACTTCTCTATTAGTTTTGAAAATGTTTACCCTTTAATGTTGATAAAACTTTGTTAATGAACGTTTTATAATAGGTATATGCAAAGTACATGTGCAACATCTGGTGAAGGACTCTATGAAGGCCTTGATTGGCTCTCTAGCAACATTTCTACTAAGGCAAGTTAATATGAAGACCTCTATCATTATAAATGGTTGACTTGGTCTAATAAAAACTTAGTTAAAAATGATTTCATCATACATCTCCACACATATCTTATAAACACATAACATATAACCTTTTTAGGTGTGAAATTTATTTTATAATATATATTTTAGATATTGCCCCAACACTTTCATCTTTCACAAAAGTTGCCATTTATCTCTTGTGGATAAATAGTAAGAACCATATATTAAACTTGGGCTATAAATGTTTTATAGTAATCAACTATAACTATCTAAAATGTTCAATTTGGTTGCTCATTTTTTATAAGTGTCCCTTAACTTTAGTTTTAGTTTTAATATTATAAAACTAATAAAACTAAAAAATTCCGATAAACCCAATTTTGGTCACCTGACATGAAATACATCAAAATGGAATTGACCTAAATTCGAAACATATAAATATATAAAACTAACATAAAATTGTCAGATTTGATGTTTTGTGTAGAGATAAAATGACAAGTTACCCAAACTAATAAATGTGATTTTGCTTGTAGGGGTAAGTCATCAATGCAATGCGAAACTCAACGAATCTCTCATCTGCCCCTTCCCATAAAGTTACTTACCTACTCATATTCTTCAATAATTATGTAATTTCATATATTTGTATTACGAGTGTACCCTTTGCATCAAAACTTGTACTTCATACCGTACTGGATTTTAAACTTTATAAATTCCAAAAAGAAAATATAATGATGAATAGTATTTGTACAAATAGTCAACAACACACATCAACAGTCTAATACAATTGTATTATCGTGCCCACACATAGGGAAAGTACAACTGTTGGAGAGTCAAACAACACCATAGTATAGAGTTCTCTTATGTTGTACCTACAACTGTATTATACTTGGACCTTTATTACTTGGATCGTATTCGTAATTTATTTGTATATTCGAATAAATAAAAAATTGTAGGGGGCAAGTTGTATTATGGGTTGTTTGATAGTCTATAACATAATCAAATTTGATTGAGTCAACGTTTGATTCAGTCGGTATGGGTTATGTCTAGATACGAGTCAGATACTATAAGATCAAATCAGAAATTTTTAATTATGGTATCAAACAATCCACGTCTAACTAATTTAGCAAATCCACTTACCAAACCCAAGTGAGAAATGTATTCACATAAAGCATCTCCAATAATGACTTATTTTATAACTTATTAGTTATTACTATTTTTTTTTTAATTAATTACTTATTGTCATTGGAACACATGTTTTTTTTATGGGTGCTATTATATGTACTCCCTCACTCACATAAATCGTCATATCTTAGAGGGTATACAAACACTATTACACTCACATGGAGGTACACAAAGCAATTGAGGGTACGTATAGAATTTCCATTTTTTTGTTGACTGTTCAATATATATTAAATGGTAAATATATTTATATGTTTCGTATATTTAATCTCTCATACTTAAGTCATATTTCATTTTACCCTCTCAAATATATTTTAATTTTAAGTATTTTTATTTATTTACTAATTAATTCTTTCTATTAAATATTTAATGACATTTCATTTATGAAATATAAAAACATTTCATATATAAATAAAATATAAATTTATAACGATTGTGTAACTTTTCCAATCTTTTTTTTATGACTTTGACGTAATAACTTTTTCGTATTAATATTTCCAAACAATTTGTTGTAATATATTTCTTTTAAAACAATATATTTTAATATTTCTAAACTTTTAAAATATATTGTGTTTGAAAAAGAACTAATCAAATAAAGGGTTTTTTATAAAACAATTTAGACAGATATAAACAAATTAGTTAATTTAAAAAGACATATTGAAAAAGGTGAAAAGAGGTTAACCTTACAAGAATTATTTAAATAGAGATTAAAATTAGAAATATTATGATAATTAATATGAGAAAAACTTAAAGTCATAATATATATATATATATATATATATATATATATATATATATATATATATATATATATATATTTAAGATTAGAAATAAAGTTGTTGGATACCAATAATTTCCATAATCATGATTCAATGATCTTTAACTTTTTGATTTGAAATGTTACATTCACACTATCTCATTTTTTGTTCTTATTTTTTAAAACTTTCTATAATATACATCCCATGTAAAAATATCTTTAAAATTATTGATAATTATTGTTATTAGTACAAGAGACATTATTATTGCCACTATATTTAATGACAAACCAACCATGAAAGGTAACAACACAAGCAACCAACCCCACAAAATCAAGAAAGCATCCTCTTATACTCGAGATCCATTTATACATATCCGAAACTATAATTTATGATCACATGATTAATGCAATTTAATTGATATACAATAAATTATGTAAGGTGATATCTTGATTATCTTTACATATTTTTTATTTATCCATACCTTCATTTTAATTAGATATAAAAACATAACGAAAAGTATAAAATCAAAATCATAAATGGAAAAGATCACCTCCCATAAACTATTCCTAAAATTCAAGAAAGCTTCCTCTTAAAAATATATAATTAGCATTTATAAACAAATAATAATTAATAAAAAGTAAAAATAATATTAATAATTACATAAAAGTAAACAAGTAATCATAACTTAATTATTAATATTGTTTTTTAAATAAAAAGTAACCATTAGGGTTGTCTATTTAATCAATCTCATCCAAAAAGCCCAACATAGTATGTGTAAAAAAATAAAACTTAATGCAAAAATACTTATTTTTTTCTAACGTTTTCTATTGAATTGTTCTTTATGTATTAAGTAATAAATAAACAAATAACGTTATATGTTTATAGCTTATTGGGTTAAGTCATATTTCAACAAGTTCATTGAGTCAACAACAAACAATTTGATCAAGAAAACAACAATCCAAAAATCTTGATAAATTAAATTTTTTTTAGATCTACTTCAACAAAGTCAAATCTAGCAAGAAAAAAGTCAACATAACAAGAATGAAGGTCCTATCAGCAAAACTTATTGATTAGTGTTGCAGAGTTACACCTTAAACAACATACTTCGGCAAATAAATATTCAAAACAAGGGTTTGTGAAATTACCATAATACCCTCAAAGTTCAATGAGCTTCACACGACATGCTGGCGCCAGTCTCATTTGTTGTTCCTGAACTCGATTCTTCTTGAAAACAGGTTCTGGTGAAGATGAAACAGATGATGAAATTGCCCATGAATCATTAGAGCTCTCTCTGCTGAAATAGGAATCAATTACACCATTTGGACTTTCAGGGGTAAAATGGTACTTTCGCTTCTGAGTTAGACCTTGAGTTTCTGATACTTCCAGGATGAAATTAGAACACTCCTCTATCTTTTCCTGTCATAATTACATTGTCTAATTATCTCATCATGATTATGATTCTTGAAATCGGAATAATTACTTATCTAAACTAGTTGTTTAAACAAAATAAAAAGAGGAAATAATAATGAAAAGAACAAACCTCGTTAATTTCAAGAAAACCTTTGAATCGTTCTTGATAATCTAGTGAGTTGTCAGGATCAACTTCTTTGAACACAAGAAACATTATAGCAGTGGACATTACAGATGGAAGATAAACCAGAGACCTTGAATCTGCATTTTATGTTAATATCAATTATCGCGTATTTGATTTGAATTAAATCAAAACAATTCTTTGATTCATTACAATATGATTGAGTTTATGAAGGGGTTTTAGAAGGTTACCATTGACGACAGCAAGAGCAAATCTTTCGCATCTGTTCATGAACTCTGAATGAAGATGATGAGTGATTAAACCAAGCCTCCTCATTGTGTAATCGAAGATTGCAAGTGGGGTTACTGGATTCATCTTCCATTGAAGAGACGAAAGCACTAAAAGCTCCATTTTCATTATAGTCTTGGATTCGAATACGTATTTTGATCCTTCGACCTAAACAGAAACAACCCACAAAAGAAAGAGATGTGTTAATAACAAAATGGTACATTGGCATTTTCACAAACAGTTGGAGTGCATTCGTATAGATTAGATGTGATGGATATGGATATGGATATGGATACGTACTTGGAGGTCCAAGAGAAGAGGGGTATGGATTTCTTCAACTTTAGAAGCTAGAGAAAGACAAGCGACTGCAGCTAACTGATTCATCCATGGCTTATCTTTCTGGAAAGAATCGCTCAACAGGAATCTATCGAAGTAATTAACAGCCAAAATGGTTGTCATAGCAACAAATCCGTAATGGGTACTAACCCTAATCATCCAATCGACAGATTCTTTCCTTAAACCTAGTAAAACCCTATCACTGAACAAATCCCCTTCTTCTGAAACAAGATTTTTCTCTTTAGACAAAAGAGAAGCAAGCTCGTCTTCTTCCCACAACAGATCATGTTCAAAATGGGTAAAAAGATGAGCTTTTTGTTTCACGATTTGAATTTGTTGTTCAAATAAACCAAACCCAAACCCACATCCAAAATCCAAATCGTTTTCTTGCTCATCACATAAAAGACAATCATCGAAAGAAAATGCAGGGTTTTCAGAACACACATTCTCGTTTTTCATCTTCTTGTGGTAAGTAGATGTAAGAAGCTCCAATTCATTATCTTAAAGAAAAGAAATAGACGAATGTGAGGTTTTCTAACATGTCTTTTGCTGTTTCTCTCTCTAGACTACACACCTTTTAATCTCTGCACTTCTAGAGAGAGAGAGAGAGAGAGAGAGAGAGCCCCCAAAATAAACAAGCAAAGGAAGGAGATTTTATCTGTAACCCTTTCACGCCTCTCTTTCTTTCATTTCTTCCTGGCTCTTGCTTTCTATAAACTTTAACTTTAAATTTTGAGTTACACAAATAGTACCTATGGATTAAAATAGTCTGCGTATTTGGTCCTAAAACTCTTTTTTCTTTTTCATTTGGACCATTATTTTCGTTTCCAATTAGGTTTATAAATATGGCTTTTGATCTTGCCAAGGAACTTGTTTTTGTTCTAAAATTTGGTTTCTTGAAAAATGATGTATGCATTTCTTCATATTTTTGTATGTTCTTTCTAGTTTCTGTTTACTTGTTCTAAGGAAAAGGTTGAAGCCGGTTTAGATGTTCTCCATAGGTGTTGTTCTGATAAATAGATTTCAATGTAGTGGTGATGAAGGCGAGATGTGAGAGAGAGAGAGAGAGAGAGTTTACAGATTTGGGCAACGACGACAGTGTATTTTTTGTTTGATGACATCAGTGTGGTTAGTGGTAGTGGTGGTCAATGGCCGAAGGTGGTGGTGGCGACGATAGTGGTTGATGGGTAGGGTGGTGTCGATGGGGAGAGAGAACTAAAAGATAGGAAGGGGAGGGATAAGGGATGGGTGGGCTCATCTAGCATTTATAAATATATAAATTATATAAATAATTAATAGAAATTGAAAATAAAGTAAAAAGAAATTGGACAAGGGTATATTGTTCTTTTTAACTCCATCATGGACCAAGCCCACACAAAATCCAAACTATAAGGATGGTATGAATAAAAAAAAGTTAGATACTAAATAAATATAATACTCTCAATTATAGGGATCATTCTTGTATATTACTCTTAAATTATTTTATTGGTGACTCTCGAAAATATGGAATGTAACGGCAACATTCGATCGTATATACGGGAAAGTGGTGTGCAGCTTTTTCTACATTTATGTCCTTATTCTCTTTGTTTTTTACCAGTTTAAGCCCTTCAACTTTAAACTTCGTACAAGACGTGGTCCTTTGTAAATTGTAATAGTTTTTGTTTTTCAAGTTGATTGTTACTATTAAGATTCAAAAGGTAATAATGCTTTCATACTTAACCACAAGAAAGAGTAATTTTACACACAATATTTGTAAATGATAAATTTGGTCTTTATCGTCGTATGTATGACTCGATTATGATGTGTAAATGGATCTTATGTAATAGCTTTTTAGATAGGATTTAAAAAACTAATATTTAAATGGTATTGTGTAATATTTTTATGTATATAATAAATATTTAGATCCTCTAGATGTGGCAAAATTAATGTATGACAGAAATCATGTAACTTTGGCACGGTTCAAACTGGGTTGGGTTGGTGTAATAATCTTTGGGTTTAATTTTTTATCTTTAATTTTATTTTAATTTTATTTTCATAAGTAACCCGTGTTTTAAATATGAATAAAATATGTATTACTATAATAATAGTCTAAGTTTAAAAATAATAATTCAAGATGTTTTATATATTAAAAACACATTTGTCTATCGTCGTATATCCATTCATCCAGATTTATTTATTCATAAATACATCAAACTTGTCTCCACTAATAAAAATATATAATAACATATCTTTATCGTAATTTTTAAGTTCATATTAATGTGATGAATACAAAGTTATTCAATATATTCATTAGTTCTTTGCCCCCAAATGTAATTTTTGTCAAAGCACATACAATATAAACAAAACCATGTTAATTTTTCAAAAAGATTATATAAAATTGTCAATTGATGTTTATATATGTCAATTGTGATTATATTTGAGTTCCATGATGTAGTCCAATAAGCTTTTTATCACTTATATACAATGTCAAATGTGATTATATTTAACGAGGGACTTGGAACCGAGTAGTCCATGTGGTTTATATGTAATGTTCTTTATAAAGTAGGGAAAATTTGTAAAAACATTGAAGATTAAGCCCGAATTGTAAACAAGAAAAACTAAGGGTCAAGAAGGAGAAATTTATGCTATACAGTACTGTAGAGACATGTATGTAAAAAAGCGAGAGCGATGTATGTACTATCCGTATATTTCAAGTATGATTTACTAGTAGTGTATTACACGCGCTTGACGTGGCAGGCTATCAGCCCTGAGATTCCCCGGAAGGGATGGGATATTGCGAGGTGAGATACACGCGCCACAAACGAGATGATGAGTTTAGTGGTTGAAGTAGGTGTTTTAAAAGACTTTTGACTGTTTTTGTCTTCTACTAGGACCAGGGAGAAGGATGTGGTACTCCGAGATTTGGTTTTTCATAGTTGTTATATTTTAAATAGCTTACCTATTATTTATTGGGTTATTTACATAATAAAAAAACACAAATTCAGCTAATTTTTGTGAGAGCGTATCAATAGAAGTTTTTGGGAGTATTTTTAATGATAAAAAGGTTTTAAGTTTTAAAAAAAGCAATTGGATGAATTTTTTTCGAAACAACGTCCATTAATGAATCTTGTTAATTAATAAGTTTTATGGAGGCTTTTCACAAATTAATATCATTTTATTTATTTATTTATTATATATAACTATATAATATATAATTGTTATTGTAGGATCATAAAAAGGGAAAAAATGACTTATTAAAGTAATTAACTTCTCGGTATGTTTAAGTCTGGGTAACTATGTGAGAATCTTTGCTAAGGTGAGAATTTGTAAAGTCTTTTATGTTGGTGATGTCAGGATTACATGATATCAAAAGGCATTGTGAATTTTTTTTTCCTATTATGAAGACTTTAAACTGAAAAAAAGTTAGTCATTTGCAATAAATTGGAAACAGCCCAAATTTTATAAAGCACCCCAAATAACGAGAATCAAAAGGGGGCAGAAGAACAAAAACAATACAATTAAATAGAAATACAAATTAAAGAGAGAGGAATGGGGAAATAGACCAGTCTTACCACATACCACAATTGTCACTACCTCTACAGTTCACTCATAAAAATACAAGGGAGTTAATGTTCTCCACTATTCGAGAAGGCACACTAAACAGTATCTTAAAGATTCGATCGTTCCTAGCTTTCCAAAGGCACCATACGAGACCATAACATATAGCTGTGAGCCTCTCTTTCTTCTTGACATTCCTTCCCCAAGTTGCAGCAAATTGAATCAGATCTCTAACCGTCTCAAGTTGAGGACTATTTATGTTGCACCATTGGAAAATTAAGTTCCTCACCTCAGTCGCGTAAGGGCACTTAATCAGAAGGTGGTCACAACTTTCTTCTCCGCTAATACACGGGCTACAATAAGTAGAACTTAGCATCATACCCCATCGACTGAGTTCTATGACAGATGGAATCTTCCCCATGTTGGCTCTCCAAATAAAAGTAGACACCTTTATCATAACAAGTTTCCCCCAACTAATTCTCAGTTCAGTTGCATTTATGTTTGTTTTGTTTTCAAATTTTCTTCTCAATAGGTCCACAATGTAATCCCCATCAGGTGCAAGAACACACTGAATTAGGTCTGTTCCAGTACTAATATGCGTATTAGCAATGTCACACATTAGAATATTGTATTCTACTGCCAAGCCAGCCCTACTTGGGCATACATACCAACTACCTGTGTATCCATTATCACTGATTCGCTCAGACACCGAACACGAAATTTCCATTGGTAGCACACTTACGAAGTCGTTAAATTGGCATGCAATGATTAAATGGTATGAGGAATCTTTAAAATGTCTGTAAGAATTTCACGCTCTATGAAATTAAACGAAGTGCCTCTGTCCTATTTAAGTTAAAATAAAAAAAATCATTATCTTTCAACATACATTAGATCACAACTCTGAAAGATCTTTTATGCTCAAGGATCATTATGAAATTATATTTGCTAATAACATATTATCATATAGGGTCACACCATATAACAAATAAATAATAATTGATTATTTATTAAGTAATATGATTATTAATAAATTAAAGCATCATTTGTTATTAATTGGGGAATTATTGTTTTATGAAAATGATAATTATAAAGATCATAACTAGTTACATTTAAACACATAGTATGTTTTAAATGTTACTCACAACATCTTGGACTTGTAATGGACCATTTGATTATGTTGTGTGCAAGATTAATAAAATATGAGGTGGATTCCACTCACATTTCCTTCCCTCTCCATGAACCGTCCAAATTACAAGAGACATGGTCTCTTGTTTCTTTGAATGTTACATTCAAGCCATAAACATAACAAATGAAAGTATGGTCTTTCATTTCAGTGTAAGAATACTTAAGGGAGAGAGGAGACTTTTTCTATCTAGTTTTTCTCTTTTTTTGGTGAAAGTCGAGAGCACTTTTGTTTCCCTCTCCTCTTCTCGTTTGTATTTTGTTGCTTGGATTTGAGCATTGATCTTGTTCTGCTTTGAAGTCTTATTTGACATTTGACTTAGAGGCTTAAGAACATCATCATACAAGTGAAGAACTAGCATTCCTGAGTGACTTGGAGACTTGTTTGGGTGGATACATATAGAGAGCTCCTAGCTTGGATCGTTTCCTTCTCCATCAACTACCAAGCCTCCCCTTAAGGAACCAAATGACATCAAAGGTTGTTATTCTTTTAACCCCTCTATGGTTGTTGTTTTTCTTTCCAACTCTTGCAAGATGATCCTTGGTGGGAATAAATTAGTTATGTTGTTCAAAGTTTTTAGTTTTCCGTTTGCTAAAATCTTGAGTTTTTTAAACTAATTTTGAATAAAAGCCCAACAAGTGGTATCAGAGCCATCTTGCAATCTTGGTTAGAATTTATGATTATTAGGATAATCTTGGTTTTTGGAAAATATGGATAAATTTGTTTTTGTCAAAAGCAAGTCCATACACATTTTCTTTGACAACTTTATAAATGTTATTTTATGTGACAAAAGTTTACATGCATATTTTATCATTAAAGTTGTCTTATAAAAACAAAGGTTGTTTTATATGCTAAATGTATTTTGGAGTGCATAAAAAAGCCATTGACCTTATTGTGTAGTTGCTTGTGATGATTAATGAAAATGGTTGTAATATTCTTTTATTCATAATGGTGTGTAATAATAAATAACTAGGTT